CCCCAAAACCCCAAAACCCCAAAACCCCAAAACCCCACTTTAAACTAATTAATTAATATAAATTCTAAAAATCCTTAAAATCAGCAACATTTTGCTTAACCAATCTACTCTATCTCTTCCTTTTCTTTCACTAAAACTTTACCTAAAACCCCGACTGCCCAGTCCCTATTGCTCGGTACTCAATGATCAATCCTTCTTCTTAAGTTCTGAGTGACATAGTGCAAGTTGACTCTAGCACTGGGCACTTGATTATTAATGCAACTGATTTTGATTTGAATGGACAAAGTATTTTCATCATTTAATTGGTTTTAGATTTCACCGCGACTATGAGTGAGTGGAGTGTTGGAATAGCTTATGTGAGAATCTGGAATTAGGGGAGATGACTCACCAATGAAGGTTTTATTTTTAGAAAGTTATATTAGAGCTATTTTTTGGGCTTTCATGGGGTTTTACAGTATTTATTACTTAGTATAGCATTTGGGTTTATTTTTGTTAATCCTTCTAGCAATTAAGCTTAAATCTGAGGAATTATTAAAAGTTAATTTTATTGAGTTTGCAACACTTGTAATGATATCAAAGCAATAGCGGCACTCTGCTAGCATTTGATTTTCTTTTATTAACTATTTGAGAAAGCTTCGAATGTTAACATTTATTAATAAATTATGAGGAAGAGATGTTGGAACTATTGCATTTCACTTAAATGTGGCTGCTTCTGTTCCAACTTCTTGTGATTAATATAAAAGAAATGGCTAAATAGTATTAGAACAATCCAATACAACTTTATTTGAAGCCATCAGGAGAGTTTGATATTATTTTTGGATTAGCTTAGAGTCATTTGCTGGATTAGCTAAAGACACTTGCTTCTGTTAACAAGAGATTTTAGTAGAAATAATCAAGCACGATAGTTATTTAATGGAGAGATTCTGTAAATAGTACTTTGCTTATAAAATTACTGAATAATTTCGGTGTTGTCGTTTCATTTACGCAGTTAAGTACTAAAATAACTTTTATTTAGAGAAAAATTAACTTAAAATCTGTTGTGTTTGCTAAGGATTAAATATAGGAATCACTTCTCCTTCTTTTATTGAACCAATTGACATCCCTATGAAAATAAATGGAACAGTATATCAAGAAAACACTCATAATAATACTCGTCCTGATACAAATACTCATATTAATCCTTATACTCATGATATCGCATCGGCTGTAGTTGCAAGTGCTATTGCTATCTCATCAGTTGTTGGGAGTATTGCACTTGTGACTTCGAACTCAGGACTTGGTGGCTTATGGATGGTGGTTAATCAACAGCAACTTTTGATCCTTCTAACGATGATAGGTAGTAGCATACATCCCGATGTACAATTTTTCATAACTAGGACAAAATATGTTACCTTCAGCTTTAAAGAGCTGTCATTGAGAAGCCTTGATTTTACTAAAATTTCAAATCAACTCGATAACATGCATCGAAACCAGACCAATGAAGAACTAAAAGACTTAGGATACGATAGCATGTGAGCTATCCAGATGAACATTGAAATCCTAATCGCGTTAATACTAATCTTCATCATCCAGCTACTTTTCATCATCACTCGGTTGACCCTCCTAGCCCCACAAAACCTCAAAATCCTACATTCCCAACAACCCAAATCCCTTCACCCAAAATCCTTTACTCACTATTCCCAGCTCATTCCCAAAACCCCCTCCTCAAATCTAAAAACCCCGACCAAAAATCTGAATTTTTACGAACAAAATTCCAAATCTCAAAAATTTTGCACTATTCCACCAAAAAATTGTACTGCCAAATAGCAAGTGCAAGAAATTTACTAAGAACACAGACAAAGTTTACTATCAAAGCCCGGATGACTCCTTGCAGAATTACTGGATTAATGGTAAAGAAGTTTAAATTTTTAGAAGAGACTGGGGATTTTGAGGATTTTGAGAGTAATGGGGCAAGACGAGGTGATGGAGAAGTGGTAAGTCTGAGGATGGGTTGAAGGATTTTTAGGCTCTTTGGGGCTTATGAGGGTTGGATATGGAGTTGGTAGTCTTGAAAGGGATAGGGGAGATGTTAGAATTAAGTTAAGGGATTGTTTTGTTTGATAAATTGGGGAATTTGTAATAGGGGGTTTTTACATTTATTTTAGAAGACGGATTGGATGAGAGTCAAGAATTGGGCAAGCTTTTATCTTCCGATGAGGTTCTTTACAAATGTGTATATGAGAATATTCCTAGAAGCATTCTTTATTGTGTCTACCACAGTATTGAATGAGCTGACCAACCCAGAATTTTCAAAGGCCTCTCAGATCGTTTCTTTCATGCTGTCTCTTATTCTACTTTTCTTGTGCATTTCATTTATTGTGTTCTTGTTTTATTACTTTTGGAAGCATCGGAATGTCAATCTCTCCTACCAGAATGATAAAAACTCAAGAATATACTTTGAAGGTAAGAAAGAATATCATTGTGGCTAACCGTTAATCACTATGTATAGAATTGTTCCTCGACCTAAAAACTGGAATCGGGAGAATTGAGAACCCGCTCATGATCCTCAGAAAGTTCATTTTCCTCTGCATAATCTTCTGTCCTGGCTTAGGAGTGATCTCAGTTTTTGTCATATTGATACTGGTACAAGTAAGTCAAAAATTTTCATGAGTTGTAAACCTTGGATCATTCAATTCTTTTTGGTTTTTCTTACTCTTTTTGTCAATATAGATTGCCTACATAGCTCAGACTGTAATGATAAGGAAGTTCAATAGTCTTGGCTTTCACTTATCAAGCATACTTAATGAAGTCTTTTTGGGCTTGTTCTTGGTCCTGTTCGCTGTATGGAGACATCAGAGTAGTTGGAGGAAAGGTGAGTTGGAAGGAGAGTGGGTGGGGGTGGAGAGGTGTTTGGGTGGGACTGGGGTTATTGGTGTGGGTGATTGTTTAAGTGTATATTGGGGGAAATGGAGGTTTATTAGGTGTAGGGTTATTATGTAAAGGGAGGTTTGGTTTGGGGTTTTGGGGGTTGTTTAATTGAGATATGAGTTGTGTATAGAGGAAGGGTTTGATAAGAGACTGTTTGTCGTTTATATGATGATGGTGAATATGGTTGGAGTCATTGTTTTGCAATTAGTAAGTCCTTTCTGATCTGTTTATACAGCGGGGGTCGGAACTATAGTAGAATGGTTTAAGAAGAAGAAACTTGTAAAGTAAGCAAGAAAAATAACTTTAATGGCGTGATATTGATGCCCTATTTGTGAGGATATTAGAAAGTTTAGAGTAGAGGAGCTATATAAATATTCTAATAATTTTATAGAGACGAATTGCCAGCTGCTGGTAATCTTCAAGTAAGTTAGTTCTATTATGGACCTATAATTAATACTTTTCAAGGAGTCAAATGAGGAAGCAAAAGAGGAATTAAGTGAGGAACCAAACAATATTCAAAACATCCAAAAACTAATGCTAGAGAATAATTCAAAACAGACTTCTAAACACTCTTCCTTAAATCTCCAAAAACATGTGTCAAAACTCCAAGACCAATTCCCAAAATACACTATAAAACAATCTCCTCCACATGCCCCAGAACAAATCCCAGAAAACACTCCATCCAAACTCTCTAAACCCCCTATGCCCTCCCATCCTCTCCAACCCCTTTAGAAATAGAGCTCAGGTACTCCCACCCCTAACAATATAGCCACAAATCCGAGGTACCCTTACTCTAACCCCACGAGAAAATGCCCCACTCACCCATCGCCCTTGATCCATGTCAAGAACTTATCTCAGCTCTACTCTCAGAGCAGCCAAGAGTAAAAGAAATTACAAAATTTGAAGAATTTGAAGAAATTAGAGGAGGAATAGAGAGAAAGATGAGTAATTATTGAAGTTGTAGATCAATATTAGGAGAAGGGTATGGGGTTTTGGGGTTTTGGGGTTTTGGGG